AAAAAAAAAATTGACAGGACGGTGGGGCGTTTCGTTCCTTTTAAAGTTTTAAAAATGAATTTAAACGAGTCAAATATTTTTACCTCAATTCTTGGCACATCATTGAATCCTCTCATTGCTCATTTAATGGCATCAAAAGAAAAACTGTTGATGCTTCTTGCTTGATGATTGTCTCAGCTACTTCTAATTTGATGCTCACATCTGTGAATTCCTTATCCTAAAAGTAAAGAAAGATGTGTAAAATTGAGCAAATTAATGACCTATGATACCTATAAATTAATAAGGATATCAACTGAGCCAAAAAAAAAAATTGACAGGATGGTGGGGCGTTTCGTTCCTTTTAAAGTTTTAAAAATGAATTTAAACGAGTCAAATATTTTTACCTCAATTCTTGGCACATCATTAAATCTTCTCATTGCTCATTTAATGGCATCAAAAGAAAAGTTGTTGATGCTTCTTGCTTGATGATTGTCTCAGCTGCTTCTAATTTGATGCTCATGTCTGAGAATTCTTTAACCTTAAAGTTAAGAAACATGTATAAAATTGAGCAAATTAATGACCTTTGATACTTATAAATTAATAAGGATATCAACTGAGCCAAAAAAAAAAATTGACAGGACGGTGGGGCGTTTCGTTCCTTTTTAAGTTTTAAAAATGAATTTAAACGAGTCAAATATTTTTACCTCAATTCTTGGCACATCATTAAATCTTCTCATTGCTCATTTAATGGCATCAAAAGAAAAACTGTTGATGCTTCATGCTTGATGGTTGTCTCAGCTGCTTCTAATTTGATGCTCACATCTGAGAATTCCTTATCCTAAAAGTAAAGAAAGATGTGTAAAATTGAGCAAATTAATGACCTATGATACCTATAAATTAATAAGGATATCAACTGAGCCAAAAAAAAAAATTGACAGGACGGTGGGGCGTTTCGTTCCTTTTTTTTTAAGTTTTAAAAATGAATTTAAACGAGTCAAATATTTTTACCTCAATTCTTGGCACATTATTGAATCTTCTCATTGCTCATTTAATGACATCAAAAGAAAAGTTGTTGATGCTTCTTGCTTGATGATTGTCTCAGCTGCTTCTAATTTGATGCTCATATCTGAGAATTCCTTATCCTAAAAGTAAAGAAAGAAATGTGAAATTGAGCAAATTAATGTCCTTTGTTACCTATGATAAAAAAAATGAGGATATCAATTGAGCCAAAAACAAATTGACAGGACGGTGGGGCGTTTCGTTCGTTTTTAAGTTTTAAAAATGAATTTAAACGAGTCAAATATTTTTACCTCAATTCTTGGCACATTATTGAATCCTCTTATTGCTCATTTAATGGCATCAAAAGAAAAGTTGTTGATGCTTCTTGCTTGATGATTGTCTCAGCTGCTTCTAATTTGATGCTCATATCTGAGAATTCCTTATCCTAAAAGTAAAGAAAGAAATGTGAAATTGAGCAAATTAATGTCCTTTGTTACCTATGATAAAAAAAATGAGGATATCAATTGAGCCAAAAACAAATTGACAGGACGGTGGGGCGTTTCGTTCGTTTTTAAGTTTTAAAAATGAATTTAAACGAGTCAAATATTTTTACCTCAATTCTTGGCACATCATTGAATCCTCTTATTGCTCATTTAATGGCATCAAAAGAAAAGTTGTTGATGCTTCTTGCTTGATGATTGTCTCAGCTGCTTCTAATTTGATGCTCACATCTGAGAATTCCTTATCCTAAAAGTAAGAAAAGATGTGTAAAATTGAGCAAATTAATGACATGATACCTATAAATTAATAAGGATATCAATTGAGCCAAAAAAAAAATTGACAGGACGGTGGGGCGTTTCGTTCCTTTTTAAGTTTTAAAAAAACGCTAAAAAAAACTTTTTAAAAAACACGCTTTTATCACAAAGACTGAAAACCAAAAATATGAAAATAAAATAAGATCACACTTTTAGCGAATCAGGATTTTAAAAGTTTTCTTGTGACATCTAGAAATGGAACATAAATTTTTTTCAAAATATTGTGATTAAGTCCAAGAACACAATGACTCTAAAAGCGTGGGGCGTAATTTAAGGATGAATTTCTTAGTTCAACTAAGTTCTTAAGTAAGAGAAGCGTCGAATTTCAAAGTCCCACGCTTTTAGAGTCATTGTGTTCTTGGACTTAATCACAATATTTTGAAAAAAATTTATGTTCCATTTCTAGATGTCACAAGAAAACTTTTAAAATCCTGATTCGCTAAAAGTGTGATCTTATTTTATTTTCATATTTTTGGTTTTCAGTCTTTGTGATAAAAGCGTGTTTTTTAAAAAGTTTTTTTTAGCGTTTTTTTATTTGCTTCTTTTTTGGTCTTAACAACAGATTTAACTTCAAGAAAAAATGTTATTTGTTTTTTAAGTCTTTGGGAAAAAAGCGTGTTTTTTAAAAAGTTTTTTTAAAATTTTTTTTATTTGCTACTTTTTAGTCTCAATTTTTTAATCGAATATCGACCACAACAATTCAAATTCAACTCCACTTCATTTTACTCCGTTTTGTTTACTGTTTATAGATTACATTTGTTCATTCATTTGAATTAAAGAATTTTAGTCATACCTGGAAACAGATGATTCTTCTTAAAAAATATCCTGAACTTCAATTATGTGCGCTTTCTGTGTTTTTTAAAACATTCATTAGTAAAGTACATTAAAAATGAATCTTGGAGATTTTGTGTTTATCTGTACCATTCCTACTACATAACGTGTGGATTCTTAACATAAAGATGCAACTCACATCTATATGTAACGTATTTATAACGGATTTTTCAAATTTAATTCAATGAATGTCATTTGTATGTTATGCAAATATACTTCAAGCCGTTAATAAATAGAGAAGTAAATTTAATTAAGTTGGTGAAGTTATATAAATAATGTAATACATTAAAAACAGCATAAATTTATGCTCAAACTATGTGTGCTAAATGCACATCGCACATTAATAGTTATTTTGCATTAATTCGTAACGGACTTGTGCTTAACGGTTTTTTTGAAAATGCAAATTTTCACTTACGAATAATCATGAAAAAATTACATGTCAATTTTTTTGTCTTACCAGAATATCTTTAGCTGCTCAAATTTATAGTATAATTAATATTTAGTAATCTTAATTAAACTATAATGAATCATATAAATGACTTTTGAGCATTTCAAGTATAATATTTTAAACAAATCAAAATTTTATATCATTGACATTGGATTTTTTGCTTAAATAAAAAAGTTTTACTTAAATTGTACTATTATTAAGCATTTTTTTGGTTCCAAAGTATTAAAATATTGTATTGTCACCGGGAATACGTGTGAATAAAAAATTTGAGCTCGATTGGAGCAGCAGAAGTGGTCGAAAAATCGATTGCAAGATTTGAACGTGACAAAGAAACCAACAGACAGAGCAACTCAATAAAAAGCGTGTAATAAAAATGAATTTAAACGAGTCACATATTTTTACCTCAATTCTTGGCACAACTTTGAATCCTCTCATTGCTCATTTAATGGCATCAAAAGAAAAGTTGTTGATGCTTCTTGCTTGATGATTGTCTCAGCTGCTTCTAATTTGATGCTCATATCTGAGAATTCCTTATCCTAAAAGTAAAGAAAGAAATGTGAAATTGAGCAAATTAATGTCCTTTGTTACCTATGATAAAAAAAATGAGGATATCAATTGAGCCAAAAACAAATTGACTGGACGGTGGGGCGTTTCGTTCCTTTTTAAGTTTTAAAAATGAATTTAAACGAGTCAAATATTTTTACCTCAATTCTTGGCACAACTTTGAATCCTCTCATTGCTCATTTAATGGCATCAAAAGAAAAGTTGTTGATGCTTCTTGCTTGATGATTGTCTCAGCTGCTTCTAATTTGATGCTCACATCTGAGAATTCCTTATCCTAAAAGTAAAGAAAGAAATGTGAAATTGAGCAAATTAATGTCCTTTGTTACCTATGATAAAAAAAATGAGGATATCAATTGAGCCAAAAACAAATTGACTGGACGGTGGGGCGTTTCGTTCCTTTTTAAGTTTTAAAAATGAATTTAAACGAGTCAAATATTTTTACCTCAATTCTTGGCACATCATTGAATCCTCTTATTGCTCATTTAATGGCATCAAAAGAAAAGTTGTTGATGCTTCTTGCTTGATGATTGTCTCAGCTGCTTCTAATTTGATGCTCACATCTGAGAATTCCTTATCCTAAAAGTAAGAAAAGATGTGCAAAATTGAGCAAATTAATGACATGATACCTATAAATTCATAAGGATATCAATTGAGCCAAAAAAACAAATTGACAGGACGGTGGGGCGTTTCGTTCCTTTTTAAGTTTTAAAAATGAATTTAAACGAGTCAAATATTTTTACCTCAATTCTTGGCACATCATTGAATCCTCTTATTGCTCATTTAATGGCATCAAAGAAAAAGTTGTTGATGCTCCTTGCATAATGATTGTCTCAGCTGCTTCTAATTTGATGCTCACATCTGAGAATTCCTTATCCTAAAAGTAAAGAAAGAAATGTGAAATTGAGCAAATTAATGACCTATGATATCCATTAATTAATAAGGATATCAATTGAGCCAAAATAAAAAAATGACAGGACGGTAAGGCATTTCGTTCCTTTTTAAGTTATAGAAATGAATTTAAACGAGTCAAATATTTTTACCTTAATTCTTGGCACATCATTGAATCTTCTCATTGCTCATTTAATGGCATCAAAAGAAAAGTTGTTGATGCTCCTTGCATAATGATTGTCTCAGCTGCTTCTAATTTGATGCTCACGTCTGAGAATTCCTTATCCTAAAAGTAAAGAAAGATGTGTAAAATTGAGCAAATTAATGACATACCTATAAATTAATAAGGATATCAATTGAGCCAAAATAAAAAAATGACAGGACGGTAAGGCATTTCGTTCCTTTTTAAGTTATAGAAATGAATTTAAACGAGTCAAATATTTTTACCTTAATTCTTGGCACATCATTGAATCCTCTTATTGCTCATTTAATGGCATCAAAAGAAAAGTTGTTGATGCTTCTTGCTTGATGATTGTCTCAGCTGCTTCTAATTTGATGCTCACATCTGAGAATTCCTTATCCTAAAAGTAAGAAAAGATGTGTAAAATTGAGCAAATTAATGACATGATACCTATAAATTAATAAGGATATCAATTGAGCCAAAAAAAAAAAATTGACAGGACGGTGGGGCGTTTCGTTCCTTTTTAAGTTTTAAAAATGAATTTAAACGAGTCAAATATTTTTACCTCAATTCTTGGCACAACTTTGAATCCTCTCATTGCTCATTTAATGGCATCAAAAGAAAAGTTGTTGATGCTTCTTGCTTGATGATGTGTATATATGATCAAGCATATATACACTTGATGTTAGATTATCTTAGTTTCTGCTGCATCCTAAATTTTTAAAATAACTTCTCCTGCTTATTCCTTGTACTTTTGTGCACAAACCAATTCGAAATGCTGTACATTATTAAAAATTTCTTGGCACATACTTGATTAAAGGAAAGAAAAAAAAAGAATAAATAAAGCACAAAGTTAAATTACTATGCATATAAGCGTCCAATTCTCCTCTTCCAATTCATTGTAAAATTCACCAGCTTCTTCTTGATTTTTGTCAGTAAATGCCTTCTCCTGGATATACTCCGGCTGTGATGTACGAAACTCATGCTTCGTTTCACGCAATTACTTCCTGATGATTTGATCCTGTTTAATTAAAGTATTAATGATTTTGTCCTTTCAACGCATGTATGTTAATTTACCTCCTCCTAGTTCTCCATCAATTGTAAGTTTATAGTTGACCTTCAAGTGATCCTTTTTGTTCTTCAAATTGGCGTGTTTTGTTGACAAATCTTCTGCTTCTTTCTTCCTGTACACTAACTCACGTTTCAAAAGCACTTTCGCTGATTTTAAATTCTCCATCTAAAATTGTTAAATTTGTGGTTTCAAGCATGAAAATGGAATTTTAGTTAAATTTAATTCCTTAATTCTCTGTTAATATTCTTTACGTAATGTAGTTCATCTTTAAGTACTGTCTTATCCTGCTCAAACTTTTCAACATTTTCCAGTTTTATAATGAAATCTGATCTTGGCGAATAAAAACTTGATGTGATTTGAGGAGCATCAATAGTCAGTTTAACTATGCAATATTCCAAACCATCTTCGATTTTAATAGCTGCATTATCCATTTTTGTGGTTGTTGAAGTTGTTGCTGATTGTTGCTCTGCTCAATACTTTAAATTCCATTATCTTGATTTTACTCTGAGTCACTGTTTGAGTTTCTACACCATCATTTCAAAATTAATCCTTAATTGGAGCTTTTTCACTTTCTTGTACTGCTCTTCTTCCTGATTCTAAATGGAGATTCTATTTCACGAATTTCTGCATTTTTCTGGCCCTAGTTTGTGCTTGATTCTTTCCCAGCAATTTGATGACTGTATTTTTGTGCATTTATTGTTTGTTGTTTGCTGTTCCATTGCACTCAACTTTTGTAGCTCCATCTTTTCAGTTCTTTACTTGTCTCCTTCATATTGCAATTATCTGCTTGCGTTTCACCCAATTTCTTCCTGATGATTTTATCCTGTTGAATTAATATGTTACTTTACTTTTTCGTATAATTCTCCATTCTTCCATTCTCCAAGTGATCCCTTTGTTGTTCAAATTGGCGTGTTGTGTTGACAAATATTCTGCTCCTTTCTTTCTATCCTCTAGCTCATTTTTCAATTGCACTTCAGCTGCTTCTTAGTTCTCCATCTAAAAATGGTAAATTTTAGGAATTTGTAGTTAATAATAATAATAATAATTCTTTTGAGCTTTTCGCTATACTGTTGCTCCCTTTCCTTTAACGTATCATTAACTCCCGATTAAATCTTTTCTACAGCTTCAACATACCCATTTTTTATTCGCTCGCATTCAAAACGATAATACGTCTCCTTATCATCGGAATACTGCTTGTAATTCTTTGCCATTTTCTTTGCTCCCTCATACAGTATCTTTAATCTCTTTATACTTCTCGTTGAGCTCCTCAATAATTTTTGTACTATCTTGTTGAAGTTTCTTTAATTTCTGAAGTGTAACCTCCTCTTTTTTCATTAAAAGCTTGTGTTCATCCTCAATTTGATGCTTGAGGTTCTGAATAAGCTTACGTTCATCATCAATCTCATGTCGATTTGTGAGTTAAGTTCGGCCACATGCTGTTGATATTTATCAATATTTTGCTTTTAAATCTCATCGCGTCTATTTAAAGCTGCTTCAAATTCCTGACATTCATGAATAATTGTGAATTTTAAATGATTCAGTTGCTCGGTGGCTAGCTCAAGATTAGCTGATTTCATTTCTAGTTTTAGTTTCATTGTATTTTCTCTCACTAAGATTAATATCTTTGGTTTCTGATTCCTCCGTGGAATTACTAATGGATTGAGATGTATTAGTAGATGAGTCCTTGGATGCAGAAGCAGCTGAAACTTTTCGATTTGATTTTGATCTCATAAAAGTTTTAAATTTCTTAGCTTTTTCCTGAAGTTTTTCAATTTCTTTGTCTCTCAAATCTTGGAGCTTTACTTTTGTTTGTTAAAGTCGATAGTCGCTTGTGCTTCATCCAAGTCGTGCTTATAATTATTCATCTCTGTCAAACTCTCCGTTGGAAGTTTGTAATTGCAGCTGGTACAATTCAAGATTTCCAATATTCATCGAATATTCTTCACACTTCTTGCAATCTGCTAGTTTGTCGTTTTCTAATTGAATTGACTTATTTAATTTATCGACCGTGACTTACTTATTTCTAGTTTCAACTAGTTCATATGTCAGTTCTTGTAATTTATTCTGTTCAATTTCTAATTTGTTGGAAAATTCTGATTAAGCTATTTCAAGCTTGTCTATCATTCTTCTTAGTTCTTCGCAATCCTGTGTTTTATGTTCAAGTTCTTTGTACATTTCCTTGGATTTTGAATTGTCACAAACTTGCAATTCATTAAGCTCTTTTAGTCCAAATATAAGTTTTGTTTGAACCGGAATGCATCCTCACGATATTTGTTAAGTTTTTTGAAAGTTTTGCTTTCATCGTTTTTTAATTCCTCTATTTCCATATCTTTTTCAGCTAGTTGCATTTCTAGAATTTTAATTTCTTCGCGTTGTCTTTTTATCGAGTTGATTTATCTACACAATTCCTCCTTGACATTGTTCATTTGAGCTTCTGAAGTCATTGGTGTGCTATTAGTGTTTTTAAGTGAATCTCGATGTAAGAATTTTGACATTTCAGTAAATGACTGATTATTTCCATCACACTCAATAATTACACAATCAATCATTTTAATTTCTGATGTTTGTTCCTGAACTTTCTTTTGCAATTTATTAACAGTTAACTCTCATTAACTCTTCATTTTGATGCTCCATTATCTAGAGTGCATTTTGTAATCATTGATTCTCGTATGCCATATCTGGACGGGCTAGGAAATCTAGACATTGTCTCTGTGATTCTTCAAGATTTCGATTGAGCATATTAATTGTTTCACGTTTCTCTATCAAAACTGCTTCTCTTGATCTTTGTAGTTCCTTATATCTTTTGTCTTTAATGTTTCAATTTGTTGTCGCATCATTTTCATCTGCGCATTATGTCACTCTTGGGCTTGTTTAATAATTAAATCTGTACTTCGCTCGGCATTAAACAAAACATTCTTCTCGACCATCCCATATTTAGTTTGTCCATCCGACAGCATTATTTTTGTGCTTTCTATTTCACCCACTAATCGCTCATTCTCATTTTCTAGCGATTTTATCTTTGACATCAAATTCTGAATACTTTTCCCTTGTTCTCGACTAATAGCTCGTGGGTTTGATATCTATTCATAAGAACTCGCACATTTTCAGCTTCAGCTTTGGACAGTCGCTTCTCGTACTCGTCGATTGCAGCGTTATTCATTTTACGCTCATATGTAAGATCTCGGCTTTTTATTTCCACCAAATTGCGTAAGTTACTAAAGTCATCACGCAGTGGAAACTCTTTTTTTAGCTGTTCTGGATACTTAAACTATGATAATTTCTTGTTGAGTTTATAGTTCCATTATCGTCATCGCCATATTGCCGAACAAAAACTTGATGTGATTTGAGGAGGATCAAAATGATAGCGATGATGAATTGGTAATAGTTCCTGTATGCTTTATAAACCTAATAAAGGAAAGAAAAACAAAAGATTGAAAGTTTGAATGACGTCTTACATGATTCTATTGTGAAACAAGGTACAAGATTTTCAAACGAGTTTTTTAGATAATAAATTATTTTCCTGCCGAACTGGATGAAAAAATTAACTTGCTAATGAGGATTTCTAGGAAATCAAAGCCTTTAGTTGAAACACAAGGTAAAAGAATTGATCAACAAGGAAAATTAATCAATAAGCTAATGCAAGAGAATGAGTCAACAGTAATAAAAAAAAAAATAAGTAATAAAATGATTCAAAAATTCAGCATCAATGGGTATGGATAGTGTCAAATCAATCTATATACGCAATTTCTGGAGCAACGATAAGAATAATCAACCAAATCAGAACTAAACTATTATTCTCGAATTCAAGGTTTTTGAAACAAAAATTAAGGTCATAGAAGACAAGAAAAAATCAGAAAAATAGGAATGGGATATTTTTCGATGAAGCCTTAACACCAACCAATAAATTAATCATTTAAGAAGCAAAGAACGTAGCTAGAGAGGAAATGATAATAATAGAATCAATTGAATACAAGAGGAATCGCCTAAATGGATATGATAAATACAGCATGAACTGCTTATAAAGAATGAAACACGTGAATACGTTTGACTAAAAAGATTTGTGTATCAATCAACAGAACCTTTTCTTAATGGCATTGAGTTCAAATTACCAAGCATTATTTATTGCGCGAATATAGGCAAAAAATAAAAAATTTCAAAGTGGCTCAATGTGAAAATAATCAATGCCATGAAGTTTTAGATAAGGAAAGATTGCAAAACAATGTAAAATAAAAATATCGGAAACATTCTATTCAAACAGACAAAGACATCACAAAGCTTTTACTAGTACTAATTGATCCCGACGTAGATACTAGAATAACAAGTTCATTTAAAATCTACATCCTATTGCCGAAAAATGTAAAGTGTGCTTGAAGAAGCAAAAGAAGCGGAAATAATGGAAATCATAAGTTAATTCCAACATTGTATACCTGATTCATTCAGACTACACATATAAAAGATAATTTCAATTTTGAATCATTTGAAGTTACTTTTGTAATTCCAATTAACAAGACTGGAGATAAAACTAATGTTAAGGAACTAATATTATGGAGAAAGTAATTTAGCTACTTGGGAATGGAATACAAACGTCAGTATGGGTATTTAAAACAATCATCTACAGAAACTGTAGCAATTAAAATGATCAGCGAGATATAGAAGGCAATCAATGCTAAGCAAAAGTAACACTAGTGTTTATGGACTTACATCTCAGAAAGGCTTTGAAACTTGTTGAAGTCAATCTTGGTCAATTTATTTCCAGAGCTCATAACAGATGGTGAGGTATTCTTGTATGCTGATCCCTGCGTCCGCATAAACATACACAACATCTTTGAAATCCTCGCCACGCGATTGCTAGCTAACTTGAACAACAATTCAGCCTTCCAATCTCTGCTTTCAATTCTTTAAACATTTGTGTAGTCAATTTTTATTCCTTTTTATCATCTGTCCAAGATCGAATGCTGTTTTTAATTAGCTCATCCTTAAACGCTTGTATTTCTCTGTCTTTTTCAACAAATTCGTGCTTCATTTCAGAATCAACTTCTTTCTTTGAACTTTGTCTTCTATTTTTAATGATCCATGTTATTATGAATTTTGGTTTGAATAATTTTCTTTGGTTACTGCGATGTTCCACACTTGTTCAAATATTCTGCAATTTGGTCAAATTTGATTATTTTATGCTCTACTCTCTTTTAAAAATAACTCAAAATTAATCAAGCATTTATCTTTGCAATTCAAGTTCACCAGATCAGCACACATTAAAATTTATTGAAACGCCGTGTAAACAAAACTTTAATAAGTATCAATGTGTGTCTTTCGATCGAGTTCATTTTTATTCTCAACTCATTAAATTTTATCTCAAGCTTTTCTTACAATTTCTAATTTTTTATCAGTTACTTAATGAACTGAATATGACCACAAATTATCTGAGCTATGCACAAGCTATGTATCATTTCATAGCCGTAAACAACAAAATTGAAAAATTACGATTAATTGCCGTTTACTAGTTACTTTCACTTATTATGAGGGTTCTATAATGAAAAGATTTGTAACAGCTCGAAAAAAAGATAATTTATAACGAGGATTCTACAGAGTTTGTTTTTTTTTTAACGAAACGTAATAAGTGAACAAGTAAATTGCAATTGAAATAGAAATGGAACACACTTTTCATATCAAGACTATTCGATGTCTAACACAAAGATTCAGGTTCAACTCATTGAAGTATTGATAATGAACCGTTATATTGCTCACTTGATAGCTTCACCAAAATACGGAACTTTGTCTTTAACTTTCGTTTCATAATATAATGTCGAAATTAGCTGAGGCTGTTTCAAAAAATTCATGATTACTATTATTCTTAAAACTAGATCTGTTCACCACTTACGTTGATTGCCAGCGATTGACTTGAAGCATTCGTCGAACGCTTTCTTTGCTTTGCACGTTTAGGTTGTATATGATTTATAGTTAATTGCTTATTATGTCAATTTTTCTTCATCTGATGACATTACTGATTAATGAACCTGTATTTAGAGGCTTTATCGTAATCTAATCTAATTGCGAAAAGCTGGCTATGCTACTTGCTTAAATTTTGTCAGTTGCATCTAATATGTTGCTCACGTCTGAGAATCCCTTATCCTAAAAGTAAAGAAAGATGTGTGAAATTGAGCAAATAAATGTCATGATACCTATAAATTAATAAGGATATCAATTGAGCCAAAATAAAAAATGACAGGACGGTGAGGCGTTTTGTTCCTTTTTAAGTCTTAAAAATGAATATAAACGAGTCAAATATTTTTCCCACAATTCTTGGCACATCATTGAATCCTCTCATTGCTCATTTAATGGCATCAAAAGAAAAGTTGTTGATGCTTCTTGCTTGATGATTGTCTCAGCTACTTCTAATTTGATGCTCATGTCTGAGAATTCATTATCCTAAAAGTAAAGAAAGATGTGTGAAATTAAGCAAATTAATGACCTATGATACCTATAAATTAATAAGGATAACAATTTAGCCAAAAACAAATTGACAGGACGGTGGGGCGTTTCGTTCTTCTTTAAGTTTTAAAAATGAATTTAAACAAGTCAAATATTTTCAGCTTAATTCTTGGCACATCATTGAATCCTCTCATTGCTCATTTAATGGCATCAAAAGAAAAACTGTTGATGCTTCTTGCTTGATGATTGTCTCAGCTGCTTCTAATTTGATGCTCATGTCTGTGAATTACTTATCCTAAAAGTAAAGAAACATTTGTAAAATTGACCAAATTAATGACCTATGATACCTATAAATTAATAAGGATATCAACTGAGGCAAAAAAAAATGACAGGACGGTGGGGCGTTTCGTTCCTTTTAAAGTTTTAAAAATGAATTTAAACGAGTCAAATATTTTTACCTCAAGTCTTGACACATTATTGAATCTTCTCATTGCTCATTTAATGGCATCAAAAGAAAAGTTGTTGATGCTTCTTGCTTGATGATTTTCTCGGCTACTTCTAATTTGATGCTCACGTCTGTGAATTCCTTATCCTAAAAGCAAAGAAACATTTGTAAAATTGAGCAAATTAATGACCTATGATACCTATAAATTAATAAGGATATCAACTGAGCCAAAAAAAAATTGACAGGACGGTAAGGCGTTTTGTCCCTTATACAGTTTTAAAAATGAATTTAAACGAGTCAAATATTTTTACCTCAATTCTTGGCACATCATTGAATCCTCTCATTGCTCATTTAATGGCATCAAAAGAAAAGTTGTTGATGCTTCTTGCTTGATGATTGTCTCAGCTACTTCTAATTTGATGCTCATGTCTGTGAATTACTTATCCTAAAAGTAAAGAAAGATGTGTAAAATGAGCAAATTAAAGACATGATACCTATAAATTAATAAGGATATCAACTGAGCCAAAAAAAATTGACAGGACGGTGGGGCGTTTTGTCCCTTATACAATTTTAAAAATGAATTTAAACGAGTCAAATATTTTTACCTCAATTCTTCGCACATCATTGAATCCTCTCATTGCTCATTTAATGGCATCAAAAGAAAAGTTGTTGATG